GATGCCCCTTCAGCCCCAGCACTAGAAGACCTTGGTGAAGGAGCATCAGCCCCTCCACTAGAAGATCAGTATGTGGAGGCAGAATGTGTGATTTGTCTTGATTCTGGCTGTGAGGTTGTGTTTCTGCCCTGTGGCCATGTGTGTGCCTGTAGTAAATGCTGCACAACTCTTGCAGTTTGTCCAATGTGCAGGTCACCTGTTATCAGCAAGATTTTGCTTACGTATTAGATGTTTACAAAGTCTATTAATCTTTAACTAACCCTTTCATGATTTCTCGTAGTGAAGCACAGACATTTTAGAGCATTTACCCTTGTGGAATTATGGAAATTGTTTTCATGTTACATTTTACTTTACCTGTGAATTATATACTATATAAAGTTAAAGAAAATATTGACTGAATTTCAGATATCTTACCAAGGATCATATGTAACAAAAATTACATCAAAGAAAGATTTGTTTTCATTACATTTTTGAATACGCAAAAAGTGAAAAATAACATTACAGTTGTGATTTCTTCTAAAAATTGAAAAACCTAAAGCATCTTCTGTGTTTGACTCTGTTTGTACTTATTAAGATATCAAAATCAATTACCTTTCAGAGTTGCTTGTTTATTCTGAAAAATCACACACACACACACACACACACACACACACACACACACACACACACACACACACACACACACACACACACACACACACACACACACACTCACTCACTCTCACACACTCACATTCACACACATATTTATAGTGTATTTATATTAATACATGCACATACATTAAAAATCATATTCACAGTCATGCACGGATGTATGTGGGTATATATATTTAATAACAGATTGTTCTCTATGAGAATGTACCTCATATTTCTGATTGTCAGCCAGATGTTGGATTGAACATACAGTGCAAAACCAACTTTCTCTTGTGATGATGTTGCTTGTCCTTCTCTCCTCTTGAAATTTAGAATTGCCGTAGTAACCATTTCTGGCAACGTCTGTGTAGGAGTTTTGAATTTCGTAGGAGCCAGTTTTTACTATTGTCACTGTTCAAGGTTAGGACGTACAATTTTTCCACATTCTAGTGTATATGTATGTAATTTTTCATGATAGGTGGCAGAGTTAGTAGAAGAAAGGATTTCATGTCCAGTAAATGTAGGAGAAACTTATAAAAGATATTTGTGTTCATTTTTTTGTATCGATATTGGATCAAAAATGTTATGCATAGAAATTGATATTTATTTGAATTTGTCAGAAGTTTGTAGGTGTAGTGAAAGATTTTTTTTTCTATATTTGAGTAACTGCAAGTAAATGATGAAAAATAGTCATGGGATATGTGTTTTTTTTTTTTAGAATATATTTCAGTAAGAAAAAAAATACTTTCATGTTACATTTTAGGGTTTTAATGGACATGAAATTTATACATTTACAATGCAGTATGAATTGGCTAAAGTGTTCCACTGTTATATTTAGAATGCTGTCTTTGTTAGGAATTTTCTTTAGCACTATAAAAACAGTGGATAAAGGGACCGTCCCAAAAAGTGGGCGGGAAAGGAATAGTAAAGAAATAAGAAACAGTCCTACTGATTTACTTTCAATTTACATGTTATTTGATGTTTATACTTTTGGTGAGGAAAACTTCTGTTTATTTGTTTATTTTTTATATATGTCCTTACAAACTACTATTCTCATCTTACGTAATGTATGTGATGAAAAATTTCAGTATAAATGTTAATGATATCCAAATATTAAAATTTGATTTATTTTCCTCAGAAGTAAAATCTAAATAAAAAAAAAATCCCCCTTGTTATTTTTTGCACATTTTTGCAAAAATGAGATTGAAAAAAATGTTGCAAATATTGTATAGAGGCTCAAAAATTGTGTTATAAGAGAGAATTTTTTTCAGTATTTCAGTTCTTCTTTTATAATTTTTCACAAATGATAATTTATTTTCTTATAACCATAGAAACCGCACTCATTTCTCTTTCAAATGCTGTTTGTTGCATGAAGATATGCCAGTTGGTTGCCAAGTAATATAAAAAAGAGTTGACCCCTGTGGAAAGGGGATAAATCCTAACAACCGTTGTATAAATGCAGGAACTCTTTGTCTCAAACTACTTATGTGTGTTTATTTACATGTACATGTGTTGGCATGTGTGCCTGTATGGATTTACATGTATATATATGTGTATACATATGCTTATGTATACACATATGTGAACTTGTGTGTGTAAATGTGAGTACATGTGTATGTAAATATGTACATGTATACATGTGAGTATATAAATGCATACATATGTATATGCATATATGTGTGTGTATTTACATGTATATATGTTTGTAAATACATGTATTCCTGTGTAAATGAGTACATTTATGTACATGCTTATCTAAGAAGTCATGTATAACATATTCATTTCTGGTCCTTAGTGCATATATGTTTGAGTGTCTGTACTTGAAAACGTGTTCACAAGTGTGTACATGTGCATTTTTTGGTAATTCACTTACCTATATATTGTACACATTAAAGTCAACTTGTATCTGCCTCTTTGTTTATCTGTTTATCTTTCTTATTGTTGTTTATTTCATTGTAAATCGATTGCATTGAAAGGAATCTATTATAAAAAGACATTTCTGCTGCCTGTGATATGTTTCAGTAGGTAATGTTAAAAGGCAATGCTTTATTTTTGTGCTAATAAATACAGCATCTGTTGTTTGGTTTGGAGCTGTACTCTTGTTATGGTGGCCAGTTTTTCCTTTTGAGACGTAAGAATCAACTGGGAAAATGTTCCCTTGTGTAACACCTCAAAACTGGTTATAACTCTTCCCCCACCTGGACCCTGGGAGTGGCCCCATTAAGTGCAATCAGATTTCAAAACCAAGTATGATTATTCATGTTCTCTTTGTGTTTTTTTTTTTTTTTTTAATGTATATTGTATATGACTTTATTATTATCATTTTTGAAGAATATATACAAGATGGTTATCATACTGTCACAGGATAGTGCAATGGTTAAATGGTATTTGAAGGAAAATATAAAGACTGGACAGAAATAACCTGTGGGTCTCTGAGGGCAGGGTGGTGCTCAATTTGCTATGTAATAGACTGGTTGGAATGACATACCTTATGTCAGGTAGAGGAAGCGGCAATCTGTAATAATCCTCCATCAGGATGACTAGATACCAGTGATGGATCTATTAGAGAACTGTTTGTTTAGTGAGTTTTTACTGTCTGTTTTATTATTATTGTTAATAAATTAAGTGTAACAGTGTGGCTGCAGTGATTTTGCTTGTGTTGCAAAGATTGATATCAAAATAGGGTTTAAAGCTATCCTTTAGAGATAGGACCTGTCTCCTAAATCATTAGTAAGAAATTCAAAAGGTGCTTTTGACTTTCATTAATATGAAAAGAGTATTCAGTTATTTAGCTTTGTCATTATTTTTCAAAAGTGTGGAGGAAAATAATTCAAAAATCTCTAATATCATTTAGCAGGTTGAATATATCATGGTCACTTTCTTAGTATTAGTACAAATGTATCATATATCTGATTTAGGCAGTGAATGCCATATTGATTTATCAGTATTCAGGAATATTGTTTTGTTTGCCTATGTTTTATGGCAGAGGTATTAATAGAACATGAGGTTATATTAATTTGTAGGAACAAGCTCATGCTAAGTTTTTGTAGAGCTTATGTGAGAATCATGAAAGTTTAAAAGCCTAACAAAATGAACATAAAGAGGGAATCTTATAATATTCATGATGAAGAAAAAACTGCAAATTATATGTGATCTCTTTTGTTTCTTTACATGGATCTGGTTCTTTTTTACATAACAGTGCTATTGTGTAAAGCTGTACAGTTTATATTTCTGATTTCAGAGAAGTGTCATAGTAGCTGATATGATAGGCTATGTTAGTTTTGTACTCTTTACTCACAGAGCAACTGATAATGAAAATTTGCCAGAGCATTTTGTTAATTTTCTAAAGATATACTTTATTCAAGATAGTCCATTTATTATTCCCTATTATAGTTCCTTTCCATTTCCTTCTCCCCTTTTTGTCCCTGTCTCTGTCCATTCCCCTGTTCTTTTCTTTTTACTTATGCTCTCCCAACCTCTTCATACTCTACCATACCTCACTGTCTATGTGTGAATATTTGTTATATGTATTGAATTATATTACTGATATTTCGAAATGTAAATCTTTCATATATGAACAGTATATGAAAATTATATAAGTTGTTTTATCTTGTTAGAGGAAAATATTTACTGGTGTCAACAATAGTGTTATATTCTTGGTGTAATATCCATACTGTATTTGTGATATTTGAATATAAAGGCCCTGATAGCAAGGGTTATACAACCAATTTTCAAATCTTAAAATCATTTTTACATCTGATAAATTGAGACAAAACAAAGTTCTTGCAAACTTAAGGACTTATTTACCCAAACTGGAGAGCATTTGTTTTAAGAATCTGTATTGTGCTTGTTTCATTTGTGATTACCTTAATTTTAGGTCAACATGGTTGGTGTATCTGTTAAAGAGCAAATTAATATTTACTCATAATTCTTTTTGCATTATTTCCCATATTGATACATATTTTTTTTCCTCCATAAGTGAAGCAATTTACAATTTTTTAAAAGACTTATTATATCAGATCTAGAAGTTGATGAAAGAAATAGAGTGAGAACTGTTTTTTGGATTAGTGAGATATGAAGCTGAATTCTTTGTGAAGAGCAAAGTAAGAAAGAAAGAGAGAAAGAAAGAAAGAAGTTTTGTTTTAATCACTTGGCTTTAACTTTTTGTTTGAAATTTATTAATGAGTTGGCAGCTAACTCTTGCAAAAAATATTCAGGACATTTTAGTCTGAAGGAATAATTTTTTGAGAATCCCATAATGTTAGTAGTTGATGGACTTTTAATGAATTCCAGCAAAAGAAAAAGAAATTATCTGCTGATTTATGAACATCAGTTAAAGTTGTTTTTTTAAGTTGTGGTTAACAGATTTTTACTTATAAATGTTCAGTCTTTAAAAAGTTGTTAAACCAGTGTCATACTTTAAGAAGTGTGTAAATTTTTCTGAAGTTTGGATTAGTTAGTCAGGGACACTTCATTTAAACTGAAATACTAAACAGAATTAGACTATGTTGTCAGCTAGCCATTGAACATTTTGAACTAGAGTTTATGTTGTAGTTCAGCCATAATTATTAATGTAAAATTCAAACTGTGATTGAAAATAGACATTCTCTGTATAAACACTGCTTGATAATTCCTTTAGTCCCAGTGTGGGTTTAGAGGGTTAGTTCTTATATGTCACCTGATGACTCAATTGTTCCATGTTCCAAGGAAATTTTAATTGAAGAGTATATACATATATTTTTTTCATGTGAAGCTAACTGTAACTGATATACTGTTACCAGAAAGGCTATGTAAATTTACATAGTTGTACAGGCTTATGTCCACATAATTCTAACTTATTATTTTCACTTGCATGCAGGTGTCCTTTATTTCCACCAGTATAACTTGTTATAAATAGTATTTGGTCACATGGACACCAGTGCTATAATTCACCCCGATTCATACTCTAACAATCTCTCATTGCCAGTTTCAGTTGCTCTCTCTCTCTCTCTCTCTCTCTCTCTCTCTCTCTCTCTCTCTCTCTCTCTCTCTCTCTCTCTCTCTCTCTCTCTCTCTCTCTCTCACACACACACACACACACACACACACACACACACACACACACACACACACACACACACACACACACACACACACACACACACACACACACTGTAATATCATGCAAGTAAAATGTATCCTACATTTTTAATATGATGTCATTCTTGTTACATCTGGTAGGTAGATCACATCAATTTGTGCCTTTACATCTTGTGAAAGAACCTTTCTTTCTAAATTATTGCTCTTTGGATACAAGTCTTAGAAAGGGTTGTATTTAGTAACCCCCCGTGTCAGTTTTTCCATTATAATGGTGTTTAGCATCTGTGGTGTATATTTCAAACAGTGGTGTGTACTGCCATTATTGTAAGGGCTGTCTCATACTTTTATATGCTCTGAACTTGGTACTCTAAAGTTATGTTGTGAGTTCATTCTGTTTCTTTGCAAAATTCAATCACTGAATTACATTGATGGAAAATATTGATATTTTAGTAGAAGCGATACTTTGTTGATATTAGATTCATACATGAAAAATGCATTGGTTAACTTCTGAACCATTTAGAAGAAAACATTGCAGTTTTATTTTACTTTCCTTTGATGTTTGTCGATAGAAATGAAACATCTGAACAAGGGATGAGTCAGTAGACAAAATGATTTGGAAATGTTCCCTAATAGAAATTATAATGATTTAACTTTCATCAATAATCACATGTATAATCAATACATAAAACAAGGATAAGTGACATGATTACCTCTCTGGAAGATGGTTACAAGGTACATGTGTTGCATTATTTGATAAGGCATTTAAACTCTAGCATATATGATTTTTTATATATGTATTATAGGATATGATAGAATGAAATAATTGATGCTTAGCTTTGCAAGTCATGGTAGCTCAACATTTCAGAGATTTGAAAAATTTATATCATGTATTATGTCCTATGCTTTTCATGAAGGACCAATTTATCCTGTGTCAGGAAAATGTCCATGTTAGAGGTAATGTTAAGCATGAGAAAAGGGATACAAAAGGAGCGGCCATGTTTCACATTTGCATGCTCAAGAGGTGAATTAGAATATATTTATGATTTTAAGGAATGATATTATTATAATAATGCATGATGCCGATCAGTAATTGAATCTTTTGTATTTTGGTTTTAGTTATAATTCTGTCCTATTATTGTGTGAATATAAGTAATGGATGATATCAAAGTTTAAGTGTAAAGCTGCAGTTCTCATTTTATTATTTTTTTTGTCAAAACACAGTAAAGTCCAGGTCAATAAAAAAGAAATTCATAATACAGTATTTTTTTTTATTATTATTTTCCCATAAATTGATTAGTTAATGATTAGCATAGCATATGACCATATAATGTAGATATAAAAAAAAATTAACAGAAGGCAGAGACTGCATAGAATTTTTTAATCAATGTTTTTAACTGTAACAAAATGTGAAGCGAGCATTTCAACCTATAAGGCAAAAGGAGTGTATCACATTCCATGTACAATAATGTATTCTTTTTAAGCTGTTGTGCTACAAGTATCCTGAAATATAATCTAGATTACAAGTGAAAGTGCCAACAATGAATAAAGCACATTTATTAGTTTATGGATTTCAGTTAATTAATTACATATCCCCCAAACTAAAATTTCACACACACATTAATATGAACGACCTGAACAAAACTGTTAGGATATGGTAAAAAGAGGTCACAGTTAGCACACTGCAGCTTTAAATATTCTTTGTCTTCTCTTCATGTTTATAAGAATATTAACAGTAGGTAATAGACTTACTTATTCACTTTGTAGTGTTACTAGATATCCCAATTGTAC